TCGAACGACGACGACAACGTTCGTTCCTCGTTTAGGCAAGAAAATCGTTGACGCATCGCGCTATATAACTTATGGAGTTTGCTGAATGATATATGAGTAACACACTCGTATCAATTTAATAACATAAATTTCGAAAACAATTAAGGCTTTGTTTCGTTATCGCAACGACCGTTCGTAATTTCGTTTCAAAATTTAGCCTCTTTACCTTAAGCAAAAAACTAATTGCAAGTCTTTTATTTTACTCTCTTATCTTCAGTAACAAGGCTCACATTTCTACATCTCTTACCAAAATAATTATCACTCGAACAACGTTTCGAACGTTTCAAACTTTAGGCAAAAAAATTCTTAACGCGTCACGCTATATATAATGTATGTATAATATAACATATGGAGTTTGCTGAATGATAAGAGTAACACGCTCATATCAATAACCTTAAATTTCGAAGACAAGGCTTTGTTTTGTTATAGTAACGACCGATCATTCGTAATTTCGTTCCATAATTTAGCCTCTTTATTATTTAAGCAAAAGACTAACTGTAAGTTTTATTTTGTCTTATCTTCGATAACAGGACACATTTTATATATTCCTTTACTTTCTCAGCTTTTCTATCAGCTATTATTATCTGTACGAACGATAATATAACAAAATATACCGACACTATTCTTAAGAAGTGCGGAATATGGGCCCTGCAGGTTTGGAGAACGCATATCGATCGCGAGCCTTTACGTAATAGAGGCGTGCACACGGTAGCGCGGTGGGACGTGAAATCGGCGCTGTTTGTCGTTTTCGCTGTACGCGTTATACCGGTATCGCACACCGGGCACGGCACGGCGCGGCGGCGCGGCGCGGCGCGGTGCAATGCGGCCCGGCTATTTGTCATTAGACGAGTACGGGCGCGCGTGGACCTCATTATCCGAATAATTAAACCTTATTATATGATGTAGCGAATGCGGGCGTGCGAGCATACGCGCGCCCGCGCGCGCACAGCTCGTTATCTAACCGGTTTCGTCGATGCGCGTCGGAGATAAACTTATCCGGCGTGTAGGAGCGCTTGTAACGTATCAATTATAATATGTAAGGCCGTCCGTTTTGCGCGCCGCACTCCCGCGCCTCGCTTTATCGCGTCGTAAAACGCGCTGCGGAAACGCGTTTCGCCCGAGCGCCGATAAGCCCGGCCAAAAGATATTGGGAAAGAAGGAGAGAAACGTGTAAACGAATTATACCTGCTCCGATCTCGCTTTCCCAAATCGTAAGTGTAATAATCAATAATAAATGATCGTTTATCTTGAGGAAATGTGTGACGCAACAACACGCGGATTTTATATGCTGAAACGTCTGAGATTTCAATTAATGTTTTTCAAGTCTATAGCTTAAAATTTACTCCGATCTCGAGAAATATAGAAAATATATAATTTCTGACGCCACATACTTATTGATTTATTTTAATCTGTATTGGCGATACATGTACAAAAGAACGCTGATTGTATCGTACATGTTAACGTTAACGAGCTGTATCGTATCACCGTTTACCGCCACGGTTTTAACACGGTTTGAACATATTAACGCGAAACAAAGGTGGCTTCGTTTCCTCGTATCGGGAATCGCGGATCGCGTCAATCCATCCGCGCTACGAGAGACCGGAGAGATGTTGATCCTCCTCTTCGACGCCGAACGAACGAAACGAACGAGCGAGAGATCGACGGCGCGGCGAGGCGCGTTGTTTGAAGTCGCGAAAGAGAGCCGCGAGGTGAATTCAGCTATCTCGCCGCCGCCGTCGCCCGTCGTCGTCGCCGTCGTCGTCGTCGCCGGCATCCCACCGCGATAACGCCATTATGCGAATTCGCGCGATTTGCATATTTCAGAAAGCGCTGCACAGGAAAGCATAAACAACTCCGTTCACAACGAGAGCGCCGCGCGGCTTCCTCGTCAGATGAGTTACACGCATGGAAGATTTACGAAGAGAGAGAAAGGAAGAAAGAGAAAACGAGAGAGAAAGAGAAAATGTACATTTCTTTTTCTCCCCTCCTTTTTTTCTTTTCTCCCTTTTTCGCGCTCTTTTCCTTTGTGTCGGTACATTTTGAATTTAAACGCACATCGCTTTAATCAATCGTAAAACGTCTGACGGAAAAATCTGAATTTTAATTTTTCCCTCTTTACATAAGTGCGTGGATATTTAAAAAATTATATGCAGACAATTGAAAATTATATATTGATAACTTACGAAAAAAAGCATAATCAAGTGGATAGTCTTTCGAAGGAAGACTGATTGAAACTGATTTAGCATAAAAATGTCAAGAGCGATTACGAAAGCTAGCTATAACGTTTCCGCATCGTCGGAGTGCCGTCGGATTTTTAGAATTCGTCGCACTGCGTTTCTCCTTATTTCCTAAAATGCATTTTGTGCACTATGGCGTCCGATCTTTTATAACGCGCCAGCGTTTTACTGCGTTACGGCGCAGAGGCGAGCTCGATCCGGCGGCGGCGAAATTACTTAAACTTTATTACACCATAACGTACCGCCGACGAACCACAAAAGTTTTAGATAAGCATCGGCTATGCGACCGACCGTCCCGGAACATTTCCTCAACGATCAATCCCAAGGAAGACCCCGGTATACCCGGTGTCTTCCTCGCACGTTCGCAAGCTCGACCTCTAATACCCTTTTCTTATGTCCTTAGATAAATTTTCCCTTCCAAATTTTCCAATAGCTTTATAACCATAAATACCCGACACAGATAAAACACGTTCCCTTTCAACGCCACAGTCGTTCGCTGTGTTTCGAGTCGATTCCAAGACGCTCTATGTATCGCGAGTATTAGATCTCGTTTTATAAGGGTCTCCGCGATCGCTAACAGCAACTCTGATCGCCGTCGTCGTCGTCGTCGCCGTCGTTATCGTCGACGTTGGCGTCGACTGTGGGTGGCAATGGCGGTTCGGTAACGTTCGCCGGTTCCGGAACGCGTGTCGCGAAAGCCAGAAGCGACGACGAAAGCGCGTTCGCGTCGGCGTGGCGCGCGACGCGCGGTTTATTATCATTTTATTCGCGGATGCCCCGCGCGCGGGCGAGATGCGTCGCGTTATAACCCGCTGCCGCTTCATCCACCCTCCTTCTACCCCTCCCCTGCCTAGCCACCCACCCTCTCGCCCACGCCATCGCTATTCCCGCGGCGCGGCACGACGCGCCCCGCGGGTCGTAATCCCCCTTTTCTAGGTCCTTAAACCGGGCTCGAAGGGCTCCGGAGACCCCGACTCGGCGGGGTCGCTCTCTCGCGCGACACGGGGAACGTTAAAATTTAAGGTTTCCGTCGACACGTCGCGACTCATAAATTTCCGCGCTCGAACCCGACGCGGGTTTTTTCCCTACCTTCTTATCGTCGCCGCCGTCGCCGCCGCCGCCGCCGCTCGCCACAGCCGCCGCCATGTCCCCCGTTGCGATCCTCTCCGCCTCGTCCTACCGTTTTCGCTGCCGCCGCCGCCGGCGACAAATTATTCGCGCGCCGCGTCGCGCGTTCCGACGAGGAAGCGCGGACCGACGACGTTTCGTCGACGCGCATTTTCACTTCGCGAAAAACGTCGCTCTCGTCTCCTCGGGGAAGCAATCGGTTTTCAATCTCCCCGCCCGAATATTCACGCACTTTCCCGACGCGACGAACGCGTTTAAACTACTGACTTCCCGTAATGAGCGGTACGCCCCCTGGGGGGGGATAATGAGATCAAGAAGGCGATCGGAGGCCGTGCCGATTGAAGTGACTTGTCACGTACGCACGTCGATACCGACGATACCGACGAATAAATTAAGCTCCAATTTCTTACCCGCGGGGACAATCCCGCGTACGATCACGGCCCCGATTTTCAAAGACTTACCGGAAAGTCTCCGAATTAAATTACGGGGGGTACCATCGGTATCAGTTATTGCCTCGACTCTCTCCGAATTTGAAGCCTCGAACTCGCGGAGAATTTCAAATTTGTACATACCCTGCTGTCTACGCTGGGAGCATAACCCGTGCGTCGCATGCCCGCGATATATATCAGCCTTCGAACGAAAAATACCGCACTTAAGAGTTTTTTTGTTAAACCCAATTTCCGGCGGTTAAAACAATTCTCTTGCCCGCCCGCCGAAGAAAGCCCCGTACAAAGGAAATTCTTTCGAACAAAGAACTTACTTTTCCGATAGCGACATTTTCTTTTCTCGAGCAAAATAAGCAGACCCCGAGCGGGAGAGGAAAACTTTTCTCCCCGACGTTCCGTTCTGTCGCTTCCGCTTTAAGCCCATCGCCGGTGTTGCGGACGTGGCGTTCGGGAAAATTTATTCTCCGATACGAGACGAAACGGGATACTTATTTGCAGAGAACTTCCGAAGACCTCTACTCCAGACGCGCGAGCCGCGTCGAGGCGATGTCGGCCATGCTATGCGAGATGCGTGTCGCCATCTGCCGGCGGCAGATTACACTGCGCGCTGGAGCGGCGCGCGGCGGGTCTATCGATTGGTAATTAACGCGACAACGAAAAGAACATTAATTTAAAAATTTAATTATAACGATGTATGTCTTCGTGAATTTTTTACGAAATTTAAATGCGAGGAAGGATCGTTTGAAAAAACGAATAGCTAGTTTTCCCATATATAGAAATATTCAAATATAAAATATACATAGAAAAAACTTGTTTTGTGTTAAAGTATTATATATAAAAATTTGGATAAATACAAATCTGAAAGATAATTTTGAACCATCAAAATAATTATTTTGGACACTCAAGCGTGATGAATGCCACAAAAAATTTGGACATTCTACAGCGATCAGTTTGAAAATACATTATTATTCTGATGGCCCAACAAAATTATTTACAAATCTGTATCTGAAATTTTTAATTTTCAGCAAAATTGTTTTTTCCATATGATTTACGGAAAACATTATTCCGACAATATTATAAAAATATGTAACTATAATTAAAACGCTTATACATTAAAAGAGTTAAGAAAGGATTAAGACATATAACGTTGTACCATGTACTGTCAACGGTTTATTTTGTATTTTTTTTTGTTTCGCTAAGTTATCGGAATGTTAAATAAAACACTCGTCTCACAATATAGAACTCTGCGCGAAAACTCATTCGTAGACTTTTACAGGTAACGGATACGCACTTAAAAGTGATATAAAAAAAAAACCATCTGCCGTTCGTTCTCCGCTCTCGCCGAAGTATAGATCGCCGATGTAGTGACAATCGTCATCGAGATAATTCGACGTCGTTCGTCGCGACAGCGGACGAATATCTCGGAATCGCATTTTCGATCTTGCCAACTTGCAATAAAAACAACATATAACAGTCTCGTATGTGGTCGATAACGCAATCATTGCTCCTGGTTTATTAGGAATACGATATGATTCCGGGATGATTTCGAGCTCGAGTATACATGCACCTGCAATGCGGATGCGAAAATCTCCGTTTCTTTTTTTTTTCCAAACGTCAGCCACAAATCTGAATCAATATTTCGCATCGCGCTAAATTTTCCGATATCTGCCTGCTTACGGCGAATAGTATTAATATATTAATTTATAGATGAGTATTTTTTTGTGTTAAATAGAGAGACCCAAAATATCGCGCGCGATGTGTCGACCGCCGCGTCTCGCGGCACAACGTTTAAATCGCATTCTCGTGTAAAAAAATAACTCGTAATTTAGTTACAAATTCGGGGAGGTGCGTGTGAAAAACTATCGCGGGACTCTATGTGAAATTAGGCCGACAATAATTACAAGAATATCTTTCCCATTACAAAATTATATCGTCAATTGGATATTAGAGTTTTCTCTGCGACGTGTCTATAAAAAATATCTGCTCGAGACTACGTGTATCGGGTCAGTAAACGAATTTCGGATTTTACAGGGGAGAGAATGAAAAATATTAATCGATCGGGGATTATATAGGGCGCCCCCGTCATTACGGCCTCAATTAGTCATTATACGAATTGACGCGCTAACGACCCGCGGGGCACCCTGTATATACCTATCAATCTATCGATGGTCTCGTGTGTCGGCTATCAAAAATTTACAGGGGCTATAAAAATAACGTTTTACCCGTTCTAGATATCTCTTTTGTAGGTCTTAACGCGATCTTTGTGCCCGCTATGTGTTAAGGAGTTACGATAGCAAAAACGTACACATCACTACCAAGCAACAATATTTGTAGCGAGTAATGTTAATACTGTTCATCCCCGCGACGCGTTTTACAATAAACGTTCCGTTTTTTTTTTTTCGTCGCTCTCGCATCATCGCAAGTTTCCAAGCGTTTTTCCATGACAATTGATTATGCATATTTTCGAACGCAAGATACGCTCCCTTGCGCTTTTGATTCGTTCGATCGCTTCCTCCGTTCGCGTACGCAGCCGGCACGACGCTGAATATCCGCGGCTGTCTGTTATTCCTCATCCTGTGTTTAATTAGTCGAACTTCAAACTTCTGAACGTCAAACATGATCGTCACGTTGCAAAATTAGACGGCCGCGCGTGTTGCCGGCGAGAGAACTCGCGAACCATTTTCTCTTTCACGACGCAAATCTCGCAATTTCACGAAGCACTCTACCCTAAGGTCGCTAATTAGTTTGCTCTCATCAGCTAACGACAAGCCGTGAATAATCTCTTAGGCTAGCTCTACCTGTGTTACATACAGCAAGCCGTACAATTATTGCACATTAACGTCCGTCTCTATGAGCGGACGCGCGTTTAGTGATAATTTTTTTTTTTTTAATTCGTTCTACGTGATAAACGCTCGCGATATCGTCATAGTAACATTTAGCGATAATGTTCCCTCTACATGTCACATACACGAAGAGAAATAAAGATCGGGGCTGTTTGATTGGGGCTCCTTTCGTGCATCCAATTGCAGTCTTAGAGTGAAAAAAAAAAAACAATCACACAAGGCTAAACATAAATCGTGTTATCGGCGTAAACAATTTGAGAATGCCATTATTATATAATAAACGTTTATTTTAAAAATAATATATTAATCAACGTATAATTGCATTCGAGAGAAATGTATTTTCTGATAAAGAAAAAATGGTCGCGCATTACTTGCATGTAATCTAAATGTGAAATGGTCTTGTTGGTTGACAGGGTAAAAAAAAAACGTGACGAAATAAGTATAAGTATTAAAATTGTTGCTCGGAACTGCGTCTATGAAAGCATGCAATTTCATCTAAACGTCATGAAAATTATGGTCGACATGCGATTTAAAAAATAAAGAAAGAGAACGGCAATATATTATCGCAATAGAATATGGGAAGAGAAACTATATAGTTGCGTACTTATGTATCGCAAGTATAAAACTTATTTGTTACTCAAATATTATCTCGATCGGTGTGTTCTGAAAATTACAAATATTTGGATATATATACAAACTTATATACAAATTATTTGTTCCTTTATACACACGATATTTACTACTCCGCCGCCGTTTATATCCTCGTTAAAAAGAAGAAGCGTATATATAACGTCAGTAGAAAGGAAAAATGCATAAATATATAAATTCACATTTTTAATATACATATATCTCTTTATCAGAGGAGGAAATCTATACCGAGAAACACAGACCTAACGAAGATATAAACGTCGCATGTATATGTATATATTTATATGCACGCATGTATACATACATATATAATATATCAATGATCTGTACATATACAGCAGTATTACAAACGTATACAATATTTTACACTGTGATGTACATATGTAAGTATGCCCGGAAACAAATATAACACTATTTTTTTTTTTACATCCTCTATTCTACAAGAACTGAGTCTACATGATGTGTGTTCGCAATTCAAGGGAAAAACGTCTACGTGATCAGTGTAGTCTCAGGGAGGAAACGTATTTTGCACCAACTTACAAAACGATCAAAGTCAAAAAGATTAATTTCTACTTCGTACTTCGGCTGTTGACGATTTTTTGATTCTGTATTCGTGTGATTTGTAATTTGCAAAAATCGACGTATTCACAGTGCCGCTTTTTTTCGAGCACACTAGTAATATCGTACTTATCAAAATCCCGGCTATAAGTATTTTGGATGGAATGGTTTCTGTCGGGGAGTCTCCGCGTTTTTCGTCGCGAGTTTCACCTAAACTCCCCACGTTTGAAAAACCGCGTGGCAAGATTTCCTAGGAATGTAATAGAATCCTTACGGCTAATTAACTGGCGTCATTACCATCTAAAAATTCGTATAAATCAGCAAATAAAAATTCGTTAATACTGAATATTATCGCGTCATCATTACTTTCTTCACAGTAAGACAACACTTCGATTTACATTTAACGGAAACATCTCCAGCCCGAGGTTCTGCGTCTGTCTCGCTTATATCGATTTCAAATTCAATTTTATAAAATAAAATAAAAAATTTCAAATTCCATATCAACAATGAAATATCGCTTTCCCTTCAGGAAGCTTTTCGAAAACAAGTATTGTACTCAAAATATTGCGCTTATTAAACTCAACGTATATAAATTCAATTCTCCCCTCGCTCATTGCACTAAAGATAATGGACGAAGTAAACTCTGGCTAAAAAGTTAATACTGCAAACTAAGCACGTTACATGATTCGATCCTTATTGAATAAAGTTTATGAATTATGAATAAAGAGATCAAATTAGTAGCAAATGAGATTCATTCATCGTCGGGGATTACGCACGTTATCTCGACATAAACTGTTACTCTCTCCCTACTCTCATTTTTGATTTTATAAAGCAGTACTTTCTATTGGTGATGTCGGACGATTAGGAGTGCAGCATCTTTCGGGTGTATGGCACAAGTCCGGCGTGTCCCTCATCCGCGCGAAATCGACGTCCGCGAAGAAATCGCTCTTCATAGTGCCGAGTGCGCTGTCGGAACCGAAGCTGTCCTGTCTGCAGATGTCGATACCCTTGTAGCAACCGTTGTACTCGGCCAGACTGTTCGGCGCCGCCTTCAAATCACTATCATAAATAGACGAAGTCATCATTGGGTTTTTCGGACCGTTGCCCATCGATCTAGTTCCAACAACGTCGTCATTCCTATTTGGTTTGCTGTGTATACTGAAGAGATCGTCCTGCTTCGAGATGCTGGAGTTGGAATAGAGACTGTCTGTATGATACAGACCTGAATTTTGCTTTCCAAAGGAATGGTCCTCGCGAAAATCATCCTTCGTGAAGGTGTTGAACGGCGAGTAATCGTTGTATTTAGACGTGCTATCTAATACTGTGAGGCTTCCCTGTCTCGACAAGATACTACCGACATCCGACGCATCGCTCTCCTGTCTGGACAGCCTATCTTTAACGTCCTTCTCGTTTCCTGCGACGTTCTCTTGGCTCGGTGGAACTTTTGATTCTACGGATTTCTGAGACAAAACGCCATCGACTTTGTCTTTGACAGTCTCTTTATTGGAAAACGCGTTCTTCGTTGTCTCTTTGGTCGGCGATATTTTCGTCCTTCGAAGATACGATCCGGCGGTGGGCTTCGGGCTTTCGCCGACTACTTTCTTCGAATCGGCATCACCGCAGTTCGCCGTATTATTAATCGCTTTATTTTCCTTCTCCACAGCGCCGATAGATTTACCGATTTGCTTCAGGTAAGAACCAACGGAGCTCGCGGCATCCGGTATCTTGAATTTGCTCTCCTTTGTCTTATGACCGCTCGTATCGTTACCCTTCTCCGCCGGCTTATGCTTCAGACTGTTGATCTTGTACGAGCCTTTGCTGTCGATTATGTACTCTGAAGCGTCGGGCACCGCGCACGGACTCGCGTTTCCCACGTACTTTATCTTCTCCACGGTGGGTACCCGGGTCAGATTGTGTTCGTTCGCGTCGATCTGCCTCGGATACATCTCCTGCTTCGAGTAAACGTACGTATTTGGAATGTCGGGAGACGTATCTTTTGATTTGCTGTTGTGATTTCTCAGATACCGTCCGCTGAAGCCGCTGGAATCGGGCGAGATCACGATGTCGGGCTTCTCCTTGTCGGATACGAAGTCCTTCGATTTGGAATTTTGCCTCGAGTAACGTCCCGCATTGCCCGAGCTGTCGTTCTGCTTGCTGTTTTGCCTCGTGTACCTGTTACGCGGACTCGTGACTTCGGGCACGTGAAGCGTGTTGCCCGACGAGGGCTCTGTCTCACGTTCCAGAGTACTGTCGTCGCAACCCCTGGATCGCTTTTTCTCCTGGTGCACCTGGCCCTCCTTGATGGGCTTCAATTGCGGCGCCAGGGTCTCCGGAGTCGTCGACTCGCTGCTGCTCGGACTCGGTCCCTTGTAATTTCTGATGTCGAAGTCCAGATCTGCCGGCAATTCGGCACCTACCGACAAATGCATCGCCAGCCCTTCCAGCCAGACCTCCATAACCTCAAATGGCGGCCTCTTGTCGGGATTCAGATCACAACAGAGAAACGCGATCATGTAGAAGGTCTCCGGGCAATTGGAGCAGAACTTTTCCTTGAAGACATTTTGATTCAAACCGAAATCCGAGGATCTCGGTAGATAATCAGGATCCGCCTGGACCCGACCTATGATCTCGCAGACAACGATGCCGAAGCTGAATATATCTACCTTCTCGTCGTACTTGTTGCCCTTCATCATCTCGGGTGCCATCCAGTAGGGATTCCCCACAACGGTGTATCGTTTCTTCCGCTCTTTCTTCGAAGTCTTCACCTCTCCGTCGGAGTGTCGATTGTACTTGCGATTGTCCGGCGAGCTGCCGTTCTGAATGATCCGCGCCAGACCGAAATCGGCAACGACAACAGTCTTATCCTCGCGAACGAGACAATTGTGCGAATTCAAGTCGCGATGAATGATGTTCATAGAGTGCAAGTAGGCCATGCCGGCAGCGATGTCTTTCGCGAAAGACGTGCGCTGTTCCCACGGCAATGGTTCGTTCGTGTCGTGAAGCAGGGCCCTTAACGTGCCGCCTGCTATGTATTCGGTAACCAAATGCAGTTTCTTGTCCTTGTAAAGAACACCGATAAATCGAAGAACGTTGTTATGGTGCAATGACCGCAATACCGCAACCTGTTAAAATGGTTTTTAAAGCGAAGAATGCATAAGAGAGATCAGCCGAACCTAACAATCTAACAACTATTTAACATTGGAAAACCCAGAAGATGCAAAATCTGAGCACTCAGGCATTGTTCACATATCAAATATATTCGCATTTTTCTCAATCTTATCCCGTTCATGTATGTACTGTATGTTAACCCAGAAGATGCAAAATTTGAGCATTCGAGCACATGTTGATATGTTCACATATCAAACGTATTCGCATTCTTTTCAATCTTATCCCGTTAGCGTATATTAATCTTGAACAAAAAAAAATTTGCATTGAAAAAAAAAGTTACCTCTTTTAGAAAGTTCTTTTGCGCGTCCTCGTCCACTCTGTACAACTCCTTGAGAACCATCACCTCGTCCGTGTCGCGATGCGTGACCTTGAATACTTGTCCGAAGAATCCTTTGCCCAGGAGCTCGCCCTTCACCAGATCGCTCGCTCGAAATATTCTCTGATTCTTTGGCTCTACGCGGAAGGACCTGGTGCGGCTTAGATCGTAAGTAGGATTCGTTGGAGAAGATCTGCAATGACGTTCGATTTAGCGAATCGTAATATTTATTAGCCGATTGCTGAAGTGCACTCTGCATTCATTCGTCTTACCCGTCGAGCAATCGCGACATAGAACTGCTGCGTTCTTTATGCATGGGATCTCTCGTTCTTCGTAACTGTCGGCTCCGCGCACCGCTGATGTAACCCTCGTCCCGGCGCTTAAACAGCCGCTCTTTGCTCTCGGGACTTGTCCTAGGGCTGCCGACGCACGTCAGCATCGCCGAAGACGGTGAGGAGAACGTGGGCCGTCGTGACACCGCATCTGGATCGTGCTCGATAGTCAACTGAAAAACGTCGGACACATTTACCGTTTGACTTCCAACCGTTCAAACTGTGCCAATAAGGCAATATGTTTCGAAAACACTTTAACTCACTTGTAAAACTGTGTCCGAGTATTGTATGAGATTTTCGATACTTTCCACCGGCTGGTCTTTAACGGGCGTGCCATTTACTTCCAAGATTCGGTCGCCAATGTGTAACGATATAAGATCGCTCGACATGTTCAATCTGCAACATTCATTTCACGAATATCTTTATTGTCGTCGCTACCTAAATCGCAGTAATAAGACATGCAAACAGTTGCAGGCATTATACTTTCCTCACTGTAATACAATCATATAAAGACAATTCGAAATAATAACTGTCAGGATGATGAGATAACTTCAAACATTAATAAAAGTGATAAGCAAATATTACAAAATTATCAAAAGCTTTTTTTACATAAAGTAAGAACTGACATTTCTTAATCACAATTATTCGGTTTGTTATATAATATTATTTCAAAATCTACCCTCATACAAATTTAGTACACAAAATATAATACAGAAATTTATCGGGAAGTTCAAAAAGGCAACGAGGCACAATATTTAGAAATAATATCACATTGATATTGACTATTTGTTTGTAGTTAAATCACAAAATAGTTTGCACCAAATCCATTATCATGTTTAAAAGATGATGTGCGTAAAAGCGGTTAATACTTGCAATTCTTTAACAATTATCTAAATTTAGTCTAACAACATAAACTGTGATTTTTTTATAAGCTACATTGAGCATGCACGTAAGATAAAAGAACATAATTTATATCTAATAAAAAAACGTATATTAAAATCATGATTATATACACATATTATAGAAAATTGCACGGACATATCTTTACATATTTTTATGTGCAATTAACATAATTGTTGTTAACAATAAGATGGGAGCACAGTCCATAGAGCTAGCAATATGTAGTGCAAATTATTGATTTGTTATGCAATACCTATGATTAGAGAAGTGGCAGCATAGCCTAAATAGAACCTCCATCACGGAGGCTAGCAGCTTACTGATCTTTCCACGAATATTTCTCATTAACCTGCGTTTTAGTTAAATTATTAGAGTTACATTATTAGAGGCTAATATACATTTATACCAACTCTCTTAAATAATCAGAACTATCATGCGCTGTTAAATATTTAAAAAAAAGCGGCTGTCTTAAATATATAATTCTAGGGAATAAAGAGATCTAAATGTTCTTTTATCATAATTGATAATTACTGCATACTGCATAAATTTCAATCTAATTCCAAGAAATCTCGTTTATATGTTTAAATGCATCTTTGTAATTTACAGGTAGCGTATGTAGTCAGATATTTAAGTGCGTAAAATACATTTTATATATATATTTTATATCATACATACTCTGAAATGCGCAACAAAGCACCACAACTGCGGGGACTGGGAGCTGTGTCTAACGTGAGTTTAATTCCCCTCTGCTTATCCGGATCTGTCGTACTGGGAGGAATTTCGACCAGCCTAATGCTGTGTGGTTTCCTGGCGAAGGGGTAGTTCGCCGCCCTGTTGAGTGGTTGCATCTGCCGCTTGTAACAAACCCCGCAGTACAACTTGGACCGTTCGACGAGCGCGTAACTCTCGCCATCGCCGATGAAAGCGCCGCACGAGGTGCAGACGAAACATTCTGGATGAAACTTGTGGTCGCCCGCCAGCATGACGGGGCCTGTGATGATCTGGCCACAGTCCTGACACGCTTCGCCGTAAGCGGCCCAGTAGTCGTCTTTACAAAATAGCAAGCCATCTTTCTCGAAGTACCAGGAGGATAGGCCAATGTCGCACGCCGAGCATCTAAAAGATTATTTTTTTTTTTTACACAAAAAATATAATCAATAAACTTTCATGATATTTTACTACGAATAATACTGTTCTCTTGAAACATATATTGGCATTTTTACCGAAAGCAATCAATGTGCCATTCTTGATTCAATGCCTGTATAAATTCGTCCTCAATAGCGTTGAGACAGCCGGCGCATATTCCTCTACCTTCCCCACCTCCTGGGTCTGGAAAATGATAATTATAAAGAAATAGTGTACATGAACATAAACTAATCTTGATTTTTTTTTTAATTATTACTAAATACAGCGCAGTATTGAATATCATGTTGAGTAATCGTTCTTCGAAAAATGTAGCAAGAGAGATGGGACTCGAAAGGATTATTTCACATTATAATGCGCCAACGTTTGTTGATTTGTACACTTTCGTAATCGTACCAAACATTATGCACTCATGCGCAAAAATGTCCTTTGCGAGCGTATATATACGTATATCGACCGACCGGATGCACGCGAATGTCATCATCCGAAATGAAAAGGCAGGCGGGCCCCGAGGGATGTGTCTCGGGAAGGAAACGTGAATCACGGTTGACATCGGCTATTGAACGAGTGAGCGAGCAAGCAGCTGACAGCGGAATCGAGGATCGGAGCGCGACGCACCGACGTGTATCGCGGGGATCGGGGAGTTCGTCGCGCGAGGGAATATAAATAGTGGTAACGCGATGGAACGCACGAATAAACTTATTAATGCGGGTGCGTGGGCAACGAGAAGAAAGACAGAAAGAGAGAGAAAGGGAGAGAGAGAGAGACACACACACGGAAGGTAGGACGCCCACGCGATACGCGACGCGTTCAGCGTCGACGTTCCGTCGACGGCGCGTCGCGCGGGCGGCGTGCCGTCGTCGCGACGTCCGCGTGACCGTCGCGAGCGTCGCGCGAACCCGCTCGCGATGTCACGACGCCGTTTTTTCGCCGTCGGGGTGAAACCTACCGCTCGTCGTGACTTCATCCATCACGGCACGCACGATTGACACACTCCCACTCCGCTGCCATCCGCTCGACCACTGACTGAGGCGCGGAAGTGGACTGGCGGCGTAGACTCGAATCTCATTCGCAGCGACACGAAATGGCCGAGTCAGGAAACTTCAGTGGCGGCCGTTTACGAATATGCGGAATATATTCAATATATCGTACGTGTTGAAATTTATCGACGTATGATTAACCTTCAAACTTGGCACAAGAGTGCGAATTCGCACCGCTAAAATTTTTGACATGTTGACATTTTCACAAAGTGTCTGTCGCGGCTGTTCGCTGGGTAGTCGCTGCACCAGTGTGCCATTAGTGGGTGCTCGACAGTGCTCGATTCTCGAACGCCTTGAACGAAGTGTGTTATTTGAAGGTTAATTGAGAAAAAGGCGCGATTTTATTTCTGCTATAAATTTTTGTATCTGCCTTTTGCGGCACAGGTATTTCAAAATGTATCGCACTAAAATAATCATTTCTTTGAAATTGTATCAATATATATAGTTACAGGACTTAAAAAGATTATTATTAATTATTTCACATCACATTAATTGGGAGCAATATCATATTTGTTCATTTTACACTTTCGTATAATCATACCAAACATTACATCTTATGCCAAAAAATGTCATGACTAATTAAAAAAAACATAGTTAAATATACACGTCGTCCTACTTAATCAGAGATATATGTATATATTTTAATTGGGTGCCTTCCATTTAGCGACACAAGCATAATTATTTTGTCTTTTTCCAACATTCAATGCCAACAAAGAAAGAATGATGATTATTGTGTCTGTGTCGCTAAATGGAAGGCATACTTTTTTTTATAATTAACGTACTATATATAGATTACATATATGTAAAAGACGGTAAACGAAAAATTAAATACTGTAAAATTATGGCACACTTAATAATTATGACAGATATATGTACTACGCAAAATACTATACAATTTTACTGATGACATCAGTTCGAAGTTCAATATGTTTATATGTTCTCGATAACCCGGGAAAAAAAGTTCCACATATAATTATATATATAATAATTATAAGCATAATATGTCCTTTCTTTCCTTTGTAAAATTATTCTTTAATACAAAAAATGATAATATATATTACAATAAAAGGGAAATATAAAAAATAATTAACAGGATAATTTTTACATTGTTTTTTTTACAAAAAATCAAGTTTGAAGAAATGAGAAAAATTGCTCATATAACCATATATAAATGATTAAAAATATACATATTTAATTATATATGAACAACTTAAAACTTGAATTTTTGTAAAAAAAACAATGCAAAAATTATCCTTTTAATTATTTTTTGTTTTCTCTTTATTATTATCATTTTTCTTGTATCCAACAATAATTTTACAAACAAAAGAAATATATGGATATACATGGTCATATTTTGTATATAATTATATATAATTATTATATATAATTATATACAAAATTATATATAATTATATATGGAACTTTTTTTCTCGGGAATTCTAACGAGAGAAAAGGATTAACATACGTTTATCATCATCATTTCGTAACGAGCAACCCTGTTTCCGTACTACAACAAAGCTTATAGAAAAAAATTCTATTCTGTGAAGAAAAGAACTCAATTAACGCCTAAATATATCCCTCTTACAAATAACCGAATTTGATGAGGTCCAATAAAATCCGCTATAATCGTAGAAACAAAAAATACGTATATATACATAACAAGAATTAAAAAATTCCACCGTCCATAAATTCCGAATGACATTTGCTGTTGCAAAATATATATCTAGCATAACTTAATCTCTAAAAATATATATATATATATATTCCAAATAAACATATATATGCATATACTGGCGCGCGACAGAGCGAGGACGGCAATTTGATTATAAAATAAATGATATGGTTGTGCCGCGTACAGGCCGTCAGTCCTTTTCCCCTTGCCGGTCTTTCCGAGAACTGCCTTTAATTCTCTCTGCGGGAGTTTCCAAATTCACTTGTTCATATTATTCAGAGGCATCATGGGCACATATTTGTCACTGGGTCGGAACTTGTATTGCGAGCACAATCGATCGGACACAGCCTTCGAGTAACCGTACCTGCAATAAATTTTGTCGATCAATATTCCTCGAATCTCATCGACAGGGCGATTTGCCGGAGCGGTTTGTAAAATCAGTAGAAAAGTCCCAAAGTCCCTTCGTCCCCAGAGCATTTAAACTCATTATATAATTTCGTAGGGTAAAGGAACTTTCACCACGACGTTGACATTGATTAGATAAAGATTGGGAGGTAATTATGATGCACGGAACCGTCACCAAAAGCCATGTACGTAATACCTAAGTGCTGAAAAAAAAAACGAAATTGAAAAAAAAAACGTTTACGGTAAGATCCTTTTTTATGTCTCGGGATATCTTGAGATAAATGACGTGGCATCTCGAAAAATGTTTCTCTGTCTGACCACGAAATCTCTGAATACGAAGGAGACAGTCGTCAACAGCGGTCTTCGAAATCCTCTACTCCCTGATAAATCGCTTGGCACATAATTCGGGGACCTCTCCCATTGTAAATCGCAGCTAAAACGATTCTACGATGTAACGGCAAGAATATTGAGGTCAACACATATTATTTAATTGACATAACGATGAGATATATCCTACCTGGCTTTAGTCGCGCGACAAAATTTATTTTTTTATCGTATAAATATATGTAACTATGCAAATAAAATATGTCGAGATATAAACCAAATTTGTAAGATTTCAAGAGACTTTGCTCTTGTATATAGAGTATATTATACCTTTGCCACTGCGAGCACGGTCGTCTCTCTCTGAAGCAAGTAACCTGAATCACGTTGAAGAAAAGCGCGCCGAGGGTATTGGCCACCTCAGTATTGAGATTCTGTAAACATCTGCGGAATTTGGCGTCGCAATCGCAATGCGAGCGAGTAAATGGTGAGCTATTGCATATGCCGTGTATGCATTGTTGCGGCGCTATCGTGAACGGGCAATGGTCGTGTTCCCTGCAGCAAGAGTCCTCGGCCGAATGTTGGCCCAAATCGTCGTAGGATTTGGCCACGTCGCCTGGTCCACACCATTTGGTACCCGGATATATTAGACCACCGCCAGGCGCTTGGTTCTGAAGAAAGAAGTTTTAGAGACTGTAATCAATCAATTATCCCGATTATCTTTAAAAAATTTTAGAAGTCATTTCCGAATGACTTAATTCCGAAATAATAGATAATATTTTAAGAAATAATAATTAATATTTTAAGATATATTAAATTAAGCAATAAAGCAATAATAAATTAATAGTTTTAGAAATAGATAATTATTGATATAAAAACAAAAATTAATCTTTTAGCAATAAAACATATTTCGTTAAAATTTTAAATGGAAAGAGAATCAGATAATAATTTGGAGCATTTGGTTGCAATCGACGTGTCTCACCTTCCCCTTGTCTCGTGAAGCCTTACAGGTCTGTTCCAGATCGGCGACCAAGTTGCTGGAAATTTGTCGAACTTTTCTGGGATCCGCACCGAGAACCATTCTCTGAATGACTCCGCGATCGTTGTAAAGGGCGCAGAAGGGTGCGTCGGCATTCAGCTCCACCATCCTGGACATGGTAGTGTCGGCGACCAGCACGCTCGCTCCGATTCTTTGGGCCCAGAGGATCGGCAGAACCGCGCCGAGCAGGACAGCGAACATCCTGCAGCAGCGAACGGTGAGAAATCATAGATTGAACCACGTGGAACGAGCTGTCGTCAAAAACTGACCGACACCGATTCGGCGGAGGCCTTATTAGGCACCGCCAAACTATGAGAATACACGAAAGTCCGGTGGCCGACCTTCGCTTTTGAGTGTCTGCATTACCGAGAGTACCGCCTCATGAGCGACTTTTAAATAAAAATATAAAGAGACCTATTCATATACCCATACTCAAATGTCCGATCATAAATAATACTTGACCGCAATTTCAAATAACACTCTTTGTCAAGGCTACATAACTATTGATTCAGTCTCTTCGTAACGGTAGAACGAAAATATAGCGCTATACAATGCAGCGCGACTTGATTGCACAACGTAAATTAACATATATTTGTAAAGCCTCTCAATTAGGCAATCGCTTTATAACGAATTTTGTTCAGTATTCGGTGAGAATTTATAATAGGCTCCTCGCAGTGAAAGGCTTATAACAACTAAGTGTAAATCACGTACTTATCATATCAGCTATTCAATACTGCGGAATGCCAATCTGTAAAGTAGACCCTGTCTCTATCTTGACGTGTGTCATTCGTCAGAGTGCACCGGAGAGAATAGGTGCCGACAGATGACAAGAGTCCTCATATTTCAGCGGATACATCTAATTCGGAGAATCGAACTAGTCGCGGCGACCTCGGTTCAGTTTGGGTCGTTTCAATTCAGGCCGATCGCGAAAGCGAGAGTGCGCGCCCTGAAAGAGATTATAGTGCATGGTAATTGCGAAGTGGGTCATCGAAGCCCATTGACGAACTTGCCTCTTGAACCTGCCTCCCATGGGACGCCGACAAGATCGCCTCGCAATTAATTCACGCGGTCTGGACCGCACCGGCACGACGCGGCGGTCATTATTCATCGCGAATCACCATTATCAAGTCATCAAAATCGCTCAATCTGTCCGCTGACTATTCTCGTCTGACTCGAAAGGGAAAAATGAAAAATGCGGGATAATGAATTTTTTTGCGCGGACAATCCGCCTCTCTATATTAAATTTGTGCCTTCGATATTCTTCATTTTCAAAAAGAACTACATTCTATAGTTCGTATAATATAATTTAAATCTTTGTGGTTTTTAGATAGCAGGCAATAAAACTTCTACATTTCGAAATGCGCATTTCGAAATGTAGAGATTCTATCACTTGCTAAAAACCACCAAAAAATTGCGTTACTTAAGCTAAGTATTATGTGAAATAGCTAGAATGTATTTCAATAAAATAGAAAAGAGTCAGGCCAATAAAACGAGCAAAACTTTTTTGGTTGATTAATTAATACAAAACTAATAATTTAATAATTAACAAACTGATGGAACGTTTCGGCTTACTTAACCATCAATTTGTTAATTATTAAATTATCAGTTCTTGTATTAATTAATCAACTAAAAAAATTTTGCTCGTTTTATTGGCCTAACTTTTTTCTATTTTATTGTTTTATACATACGAGCGGTAATTATTTTATAACTAGATTGTATTTCTTTTTGGAAAGAAAGAATATCGAAGGCGCAAATTTAACACAGAGAGGCAACTTATTTAGCAATAGTTATACCAATAGACGGACCATCAAATTGGAAGTTACAATGTATATAAACACGTGTTACAACATAAAGTTTTTGAAGGAATAAGCCGATTATCTCTCCCATCAAATTACAAAGTCACGATCGTCTGCCGTCCTTCTGGAGAGATAACCAAGTTCGAAAGTGAAATAAAGTGCAGTCGCTTCGTGACTGATATACGAAATACTCGGAATGCCTCGGGCGTTATGGACATCGGACGAAAAACACATTCTCTTTAAAAATTTCGAGGTGAACCTCGCGCAGCGAAAACAGCTATTGCATATTTATTTGTTTTTATGCAAATCTTTCGTAAGTGGAAATTCTTTTTTACTATTTCTTATCAAAAAAAACTTTTTGTAGCAAAAGCCTCAAATCCGTTATCTCATAATTTTTCATCACAATTTTCTTTATAATTTTCATCGTAATTTTTTTTTTACACTAGAAAATTGATCTCCGTTACACAACTACTATGTAAAAAATATTACATTATTAATTCTCTTCTAGTCTCCAATATATTATACATATAGTTTGCATAATTGGCGATATGGATCAACGGAGATCGTTATCGAACTTGTCTCTTGAACCTGCCGATGTATATTGTCAGCGGGACAGCTCTATTATAATTGGACACAGTCTGGACGATTGTGACGCATCTATATATATCTTCCATCGTTTATCGCTAATCGTGATTATAATCAATTCGACCGACAGACACTGTCGTAACTGTTGTGACACGGAGCTTAGAACAAAAATATAAAAATATTTACTTTGCTGTATTTTTTACGTCGCGTTATCTACATTTCTATATCCCGACAACGCAATCTTTATATATAATAAACGGTGGATATAAGTCTTTATCTTTTACTGTCCGGCTTTTAAAGATTGTAATGCAGTCTATTTCTATACAGTATTTTTTTGTAGTTTCCAGGGTTGTTCCACACAAGGCTACGAAAATATAATATACCCGAGATGCGAATAGCGGAGAATGTCCATTTAAAAAAATTGTCCAAGCACCATTAAATAAACCGTAAAAGTCTAATGATTTCCAAAGAAGTCATCGATTCTTACGAAAGATATGATCTCTGAAGAAATGGAGATAATTTGATTCCACTACAAATTTTTAATACACACACGCACTGCAAACAAAGAGAAAAAAAAAGATAGTGAAAGGTTAAGATTTAAATTTTAAAATCTTTTTTATATCCCTTTATTTGAGCAATAATAAAAGTCTAGTTTAATTGAATGTGTTAATAGTAACAAATTAAAAACTGTTTAAAATTTCAATTTTTAATTCTCAATTTTTAGAATTTTTAATTTTCAATTTTGAATTTTTACCTTTAACTTTTTTTAAATATAAAATTATTAAATTATAAAATTTTTTAATATCTGCTGAATTTTTATAATATAAACTGGAAACTTGTAATAAATGCCAATATATTGCGATCGAAAGGTCTTTCTTCTCAATATAACTCTAAAGATTAATTAATTAAAATTAAACTATAAAGATTAATAATATTTTACATTTTCACGAGAGATAAGAAATGGGACAATTGGAGCAAACTTATCGAAAACGTACACCGCTCACATAAGGCAGATCACCGATACACGATTCGGAGATGACCGGGGCAGATGTCCGAGGCTGGGAAATCCGCAAATATGACTAAAAGAAGAAGGCACGGAAACGCAGCAAATGCGCGAAACTGCTGATGCGAGTCTAAACTGCGCACCCCCCGTAGCCCACCCCGCGTGTCCGCGGAGCTGATCGTGCACTGCAGTGCGTAACGAACGGGAAGTAAGAAGGGCATAGTTGTATTTCTCTCTGCAGCTCATGAAAATCATAATTTTACCAGGACATGCTGGAGGCATTTTAAATGTCTAAAGAATTAAATTGTAAACTATTGCTGGCAATTAACTTTTAAATTAATTTAATTTAAATGTTCGCTCGTAAAGAAAAATAAATGGAACGAAAATGAGAAAAATAACTTCTGATAGTCAGATGAAACGCATTATAAAACGGCTCTATAGCGTAGAAAGTGTATAAATATATAGCGATAGTTGATAACGCTAAAGCGTTATTGAACCGGAATGTCTAATGCTAGCTGTATCGTGGCAAGAACACGTCATTGCGATGAAGAGGTAAGCACACGGATTTTTATACCACACAGATTTTTTTTAACATTCTTTTAACGAGCTTTGGATTTTTATGTTCAAGCGATATACAATATTTCGGAAGTAAAACGTATGTTATGTATACAGTATGTAAAGTGGAACGTGTCTTATCAACTGATTGCAAAAAATTTCGCGATAAAGAGATCAGATTCTGATAATACGCGCGAAATTGTATTCGCGAATAAAACGGTATTCGTTAAAGAAAGTAAAACGTTAATTTAAATCCTAGTTTATAATTTTAACAAATAATCTTCTAAAATAAAAAAATAAAATATGTTGCGTATCGAAATGAATCACGCACAAATTTATTATAAAAAAATTTAATACGCGCAAAGTTGTTTATATGTTAGCAACGAAAAATGTAATCGATAAATTAGAGAATATTAATATCTTTATTAATATGAGCGTACATACGCTGAAATTTGACGATGACGTAGATCTTGTGTGGTGAGATGATGCGACGCGCGCAAAGTTATCGAAGGTGAGACGTGCTGCTTGGAACCACGAAATTCGCTTGTCTCTCCTCAACAGTCACTATCAAACTGCTGGTTCGTACGAGACGTCAGAATACTAATATTCACAGTCACGCATATACAAACGCGTGCACCGGTCGCGTTATACACGCATTGGGGGAGAATCTAAATCATGTGATGGAGACTGTTTATGTGGAGCACCCCGCAATTGATTTTTCCTATCATCAAACCTATCGAGGAGAGAGATGACCGTACGTAATTAATTCCGAACAAAAAAATTATCCTTAAAATTAATTTTGATAGCGTTGTAATACGGAATTACTTTTTTCGAAAAATTTACATGTAAGTAACGCCAAATAATTTAGTTATTAAAAAAATAATTATTTTTTAACTTTTATCAGTACTTACAAATAATACTTAATATTTACCGATGTTTATTGACATTACACCTAGAATGTTCAATGTTTTTTGTAGTGAAATCGAAGCATATAAATGGTGTAAAATCAAATAAAAAAATAACGTTAAAATAATTAATTATATTCTTAGTTCTTCTTTAGTTAAATAACTAAAGATACACAAGTAAAAATACACATTGTGTTTTTTGTTTTAAAATTTTATTGAATATTTAACGTACATTAAAGACGCATACTCGTAACATTATCTCTAATCGTCCATGATGTACATTAATCGGTCAATCAATTCTAATTCCTTTCTTTGTCATCAATTTTATTTTTATTCAAATTCGTTATACGTCGCCAAATAAAATAGCAGAAAGTCAAACATGCATCTAGAAGAATGTAATTTTAACAGATCTATCAATCGAATAAGACGGACATCAGATCGCATTGAGATCGCCAAACGAAAAGCGCGATGACGAGTTCGCTTTTTAAGGAATCCACTCCACCTCATTAGTCTCCATTCTTTCGCCGTTATTTAAGACGCGGCCGTTCGGTGCCGCCGTCGATTCCGTCTTAGTCTCTTCCGTTCCGGCTATCTTGTGATAGACCTGGCTTCCGGTCTGAGCGATCCACTGGACACCGTCGCCGATCTTCTCGCCCGCTTTGCGCACCACATTGCCGAAATTCTCAGAAGTGAAGGTGTTGGGATCGATGTTGATATCTAGAGTATTGTTGCCTTGCGGGCAGCCGGACTGTGAAATAATGCTCAAATCGTACGGATCGACGCCGGACAGGCTCAACCGTTGACGTATCTTGTCCACCTCAAACTGATCCAGCGTCCTGGTCCTCGAGAGAATCGTCGCGCTCTGACGATGAGCGAAACCCAGCTTCTGGCACGTGAATATGCCGGCGTAAGTATCGTAATCTGTCAAGAATATCACGTGGGACGCGCTTCCGGCCACATCTGTAAAATCACAGGTACGAATTTTAGTTGCACAACGCGGTAGCTTGACTTGCAATTCAGATGGAAATTATTAAGCGAGAACGTATTGTTTATATTATTACGTCAAATTAGTACATAGCAAATTTATCTTCAATTTTCCTAATATCTTGTTATTTGTAACAAATTGTGGACGATTGTATCTGCACATTTTGCAGGCAATACTTATGGCTAATTAAATTTTACTGCGCAATACAAAATTTTTATTTTTTTGTTTCTATAAAATAAAACTGTGCCTCTTCCGTTTTTAAATATTCTAAAAATTAATTTAATAGTTAATTTGAGAGAAAAACTTACTAAGAGGGAAACGGACTTCCATACGTCCCGGGGTACTTGGTTCGGGTACAGTCAGTTGGCCAGTATAATGATACTCGTGCTTCAATGGCGTAAGACCTGTACATATGCATCGCACAATTACGGATAATTCATCCCACTTGCTGGACATTTATCCCATTGACAGGCTCTTTTATGACTCGATGGAGCCCGATACGCGGTTCGTAGAAGCAACCGCGTATCATCTCCTTTCTTTACCAATTGCGCTTATTGTTTTTTAATTGCCTCACCCAGAATCAGATGATCCGAGTCCTGCGTTATCACGTACTCGCCCGGCTCCTCTCCTCGTGTGTAATTGTAAGTGATACACTTGCTACCCGTCGACGTTTTCTGGATAACGTACCACAGGCCTAGGAACTGAAATTTTAAACAAACCGATTATTTCTGAGACGAATAACAATTTGATTGTATGCACAAGATAAAGTTTGATAAATTATTATAAAGACATTTTTGATAAGATAAAAACGTGTAATATTATTCTTTATGAATTTTTTTTACTCACTCTACTCATCTGGAAACCCTGCATAGGCTCCACAATCGGGCAAGCACCCATGTGATACGTATGAGCATGGGCAAAGGCGAGGCATCCCGCCAATACCAGACACCAGGTCAAGGACTGCATCTTCTGGCAGAAGAGAAAAAGAATAAGTAACATCGTTTAAGCGATTCGGAATCTCAGAAAATTACTACGACATGAGTCAGGTTTTCCCATAAATTTGATAAAAATTATCAATATCAAATAACTGTCTACACATTTCTAATCTCTGATAACAAAAATTTACTCATTAAAAGCTTATAATAATTATTTTAAGGCTTTTTATTATTATTACGGTAATGATATAGAATAAAAAATTAAATGAAAAAAAAGCATCTATTTAATGGCACGTGTCTACACGGGAATTGTGCGCGACATATGTAAAACAAATGTTTCCAACGCAATTACAAAGATTTCAACGGAAGTGGTGATGTCATGCATTTTTCAATATTTCAGTGCAACTTCCTGGTGTGCGTAATAATAATTCGTATATGCGCCTCGATCGCGCTCGTCGAGCAAAGCAATTTTTTTAACTCGTGCACAGCCATGATCTCGGATTTCAAGTAAGTACTATCGATCGGAGAGAGAACATGATTCACACTCGCCTTGGACACGCATCACGGAGCAAGGACCTCTGATTTATGTTACAACTAACGGATGTACATGTCTTTATCTCATCTCTCTCTCCTATTTCACACGATAACAAACGCGCTATGAGTGATGAATACACGATTAGGATCGACCCGTTGCGACCTTTCACTCCGCATCACTTTATGATTGTGAAAATTTTCATTCCGTGTGCGCACTAACGTAAATCAATTAATGTCTTTCTGCTTGCGGACTCTTTTTTTTTACAGACGCAAAATCTGAATTTATTCCGTGGAAAAAGTAGTAACAATAACACTCATTTTTAATTACGCTTTTTCGTCTCGTCCCCCGCACAGAAAACAGTAAGCGACGATTTTTCTCTCGAATGTGCGAAAAGCAAAACCAGATTTGTAAACTAAATGCGTAGAAACTTGAAGCCACAATGTGTACAATCGTTGTAGAAATACTTATATAAAGAAAAAACGAAGGGTGTTAACGCGTCAGAAGAGGAGATGTTAAAAAACTGCGAGCTCGAAAGTGTGTACTCACGATGGAGGCTGCTGTTGCCGATCTCTACGTTCGCACTATAAACACAAGTTCCGCTGGAGAGATGGACTTTATGTGGCTGGTGCCCCACTCTCGGCTGTACCCCACAATTACAGATCACATGTACGTATACATTCACCGAGGCGCGTACATAACACGAACGTGGATCGAGATACAGAATGTCTCGCTGTTTTTCTCTGCAAATCTCTGGCTTGCACTGATTCATCTTTCTTTTTTACGATAAATTTGCTATCTTGTGTATTTGCACATTATTTCTTTAAAAAATGTGGAATTATCATAATTATCATTAACGTTAAATTACGTCCGCTGAGCATGTGATGACGCATTCAAGTACGAACCCATGTAATAGACTGCAAATGCTTTCTGCGAATTACTAATTCTCTGTATATAGCGTAGGTTTTCTCATTTTTCTCAGAAACGAATGTGTCTCAAAGTGAACTTTATAACATTCTAATGGAATAATTAGTTTTCTTTTATATAAATGAATTATACAAAATGTTTATAAAATATTATTTATTTGTAAGATACAAAGAATTTTTACATTAAATTTTCTTGGATTAATGCGACCAACGCTCATAGTATGTAAATTTTCTGCTAAGGCACGTACGTTGTACAGTAGATAATTATGAATTACTAATTTTGTCTCTTATTAATAATCAGTTTATGATTGAAATTTTTCAGATCATAGAATAAGGCACAAAGATGTAATCAGAACTGCCAGCTTATATAACCACATCATATAGAATTAAACTTTTTCTTTAAAAATTGATCCTTTTCGAAGTAATAGGAGACTAAGTATCATATTGTGTAGCAAAAGTGAATTAAATATAAGTAAAGTAAAATATAACATACAATAATGATATTAACATTTATCGAGCCAGGTTCGATAAGATGTCAAACATAATATATGGAATTGGCATTATTAATAATGGCATTATAATAATTGTGACCGAAATACTGTATGGAACTAACTTAAGTGCAATACATTACGTAAAATACTGCTATTATATTCCAGTAATAACTTATATATGTGTGTGAAATTTAAGTAATTCAATGAAAACCCATAACGCTCTTATTCTTCCCACACATTATATAAATTCTACTTAAAAAAAAATGTAAACTTCAATCGATAAAATAATTAAAATAAAGGCCAAAATGAAGGATATTTACTTAAATAAATTAACTTTCAGTACACCTTAAACCATACTCTTCACGTAGTCACACGATTAAAAATGTGAAATTCTGCTTCTTTTACCCAAGTAGCTTCTGCGTTTTACGCAGCTGGTATTTTGCATGTATCCAAATCACTGAAGTAGGGATGTTGCAGTGCCGCACGTGCGTTTATTCTGTACACAGGATCGTACATGAGCATAGCTTGCAAAAGATCCAATCCATCATCATCCAGCATCTTCACTTGCGACTGCAAGTTATTCGTCATCCAATTCGGGAATGTCGTTTTATAATCTGACAGCTGTGTCACGCCCGGCCATATGTCTTCCGTAGGCGTTCTCAGTATTCTGCAAGACAGAATAATTGTTAAACGATCCGAGAAATAATATTTTCTATAAAAATATAAAAAAATAATATAAAAATTTTACCGGAATATCCTGAAAAGCTGATCGATCTCGCTGTCTCCCTGGAATAATGGTTTCTTGGTCGCCATCTCTGCAAAGATACATCCAATGCTCCACATATCAATCGCGCATGAGTATCTAGTAGCACCGAGAAGGATCTCAGGCGCCCTGTACCACAGAGTTACAACTTCGTGCGTATATATTCTGACTGGGATTCCAAATGCCCTTCCAAGTCCAAAGTCTGCCACTTTGATAATTCCAGTTTTATCGATCAGCAAATTCTGTGGTTTCAAATCGCGATGCAGTATTCTACGCTTGTGACAGAACAGAATTGCACGTGTGATCTGAAACGATGAGCAATTGCGTTAGTGCATGACTAATCTTAATACAATTTTCCATTACAATTTAATCTAAAGTCTATTAATTCTAACATTAATTATAAAGGCTATTAAGAATAGTTTTTATTTAGCTGAACTAGTGTACACTTGTACTTAAAATAAAGAGAATATATATTTGAAATTTGAAGGTACAAAAGAAAGTTTTCGTGAAGTCTAATGCAGTGATAATGTTTTCTTAAAATATGATACTGAGCCTCCCAGAATATTAAAGTTGATCTTTATCTGCACTGGAATGCACTGTTTATCTTCCTTTCGACTTCAAATATACAAAAGGGACAAGACAGTTCAGATAACTGAATGAGTCAGATCATTTAAGGCAGCGTTCCGATATTCTGCGTTCCAAAAATATTTTTAGCACTGATAAGAATGCAGCCTTTGTAGTTTCAATAATAGCTAATAATAGCTACTTATTAGTTCCGCTAATGAAAGCTGATGTTCAAAAAATTGAGCACATCGAACTCTTATTATCCAAATAGTTTGAAATAAGATATTAACTGCGAGTTTATAAATTTGGAACCGAATATAAATTTGTTCGTGTAAATGGAGTATGAAAAAACAGAGACCTGCTGTACATCTACTTCATTTTAAGTACGAGTATGCACTAGTTGAGCTACAAAAAAAAGACTATTGACCTTTTCTCCTGGATGTATAATGTTATCACGCTATTTTTCTATGTAAACAAACCTGATATAAATACGACTTCACTACAGCTGGTTCCATCAGTTTATTGCCCAAGCTATCCATGTACTTTTTCAGATCCATAGTGAGATACTCAAATATAAGATACAGTCTCGACTCCTCCATTAATACATCGATCAAGCTCACGACGTTTGGATGAGTTAACTCTTTGAGCAATGAAATTTCTCTAATGGCAGTCGACGGTATTCCCTCATCATCGCTTTCCAAGCGAATCTTCTTCATGGCTACAATTTCTCCAGTCTTCTTGTGTTTTCCTTTATAAACTACTCCATATGTACCTGCGGAGAAAACATCAAGATTTATGTATTACTCCATATATTTACTGACCGAAACATTTTATGTGACTTATATCTATATAGCTGAAAACCGAATGCAATCTTACAGGTTTTAATTAAAACAAATTAAATAACATTGCCACTGTCCATTGAACAAACATAATCCACTCTGTTTGACCGTAAATACTTGGGCAAAATGTACATTAATTATCAATATTTCGAGCACGTTATAACAGAAAGAGGCAGAGATCTGTCGTTGGATTGCATACAATGCGTCGACAGCCGAAAATCGCTGCCGAAAAAAAGCAGCTTAACAAATATATCCATTAATTTACTCTCACGTTGCGATACACGCGGTGCGACAACAGGTTCTAGTACTTTTCACGCACTCACCTTCTCCGATTTTCTCTATTTTTATGAAGTTATCCATCGTGCGTGGCTGAGAGAACGTCAGTTCAATACACTCGCCCAGATCTCACGAAATTCTTCCCACGATTCGATCGGGGATAGCCAGTCATCCAGTCCTCGCTTCTCACAAGCCTCGCCGTGTCGCCAATTGCCTAACGAACAAATTCAAATCAAACGCCACGCCATATTGGTAAACACATCGAGAATTGCTGGGCGCGCTAGCGCCCTCCCAGCTGCTCGGTTTGTTGCGTACTTTGTAGCCATCTGTCATGCTTACCCGCAAATACCAACGACACACCACACACACACACGCACACACACACACACACACACATATATATATATATATGCGTCGGCAAATATTCAACTTAGTTTCTAGCAAGATCAAAAGCCTTACCAAATACGAGGTGCTACGATAAATAAATACCTAATAGATGATTGGAAACATAAAACATAAATCTCTAATTGGATCCTTCAAAAAAGAAAAATACATTAAATAACTTTCGTACAAAAATCATAATTTAAATGATTAATCTAATATTATACTTATTTATATATCCATGATTTGTTTGTAGGTAAACTAGTATATAATTTTAATGTATGTACTACATATACTCGTATTTAAAATGAAATAGATATGTATATGTATTTAATGTTAGCGAAAGTTTTAGTGCAATTCATTACAACAAAGAGCAGGTCTATTATGAGACAAAATTGGATGTGAGAGAAGAAACTTCATTTATAGAATAACGCATTCGAGATTTTTTTTTTTTTAGATAATCTTAATAAATTTATTTTTAGTGCTTACAACGCGTAAATACATAACTTCATTGCAATCGTACGGTGAACTCTGAACCTGGGTCAGCTCTGCGGTTTGCTATCGTCCTCATAATTCGCAGGAAAGACTTAGAAATAATGCGATCCGGTCTGAAAAAAACCGAACCGACTTAAGGTCGCTGAATTGGCGAACGTAATTCTATCAGCGTCAATATCTACCAATATTATAAATGTAATTAAACAATGAGGGGAGGAGGGGCGTGAAGTTCTCAGCGTATTTTATCGTGGAAATTGGTAGCCGCCGGTCGCATAACCCAGACCTACGCCACGCTGCGTGTGCGTGGTAGCTCGCGCTACTTCATATTGCTGCTCCATATTGTTGAACATCTCCTCCTGCTTTTTCAGAATATCCGGTTTAGTTCCCACCGTCGCCGGCGCGCTAGGCAGATCGCCCTTGATACCCATCAGTCGCTTGAACTTGGCCGACACCTTTCCGTCCTGATCGTGCGTGAAAGTCGTCCCCATCCACGTGTTGGCAGTGGAGGCCGCGGCCGACGTGCTGTTACCGTCGTCTTGCTTCGACTGCAAAGAGACAAAATACGTGATTGTAGAACGGAAACTACACGCCAGATATATGCCGATTAAGGATACCGTTACGGCTGTGGATAATCATCACCTTGTTCGCCCACAGCAGCTTCCTCTTCTGGATCTGCTCCGCGTACTTGCCCTGCGTCGCCGTCGCCAGCGGATTGTAGTAGTTCAGTTCGCCCTGGACGCTGCCGGGCATCAGGGCGTCGCCGCCCTCCGGCGGCTTCAGCTCTATGCCCAGTTTCTCCAACTGGGCCAGCTTGTTCCGTCCCTTCTCCTCCCGGTAGCTCATCGTCCGAAACGGTAGCGGTGGCGCGCGGTCCCTCGACCGCGACCTCGATCGCGTGCGATCCCTCTCCTTGTGGTAGCGCTCGTCCCGATATCGGTCCTTCGACCGGTCGTCCCTGGAGTGCCGCCGATCCCGTTCATTGCGGTCGCTGCGATCCCTACGTCTGTCCCTGTCGTTCCTATCGCGATTACGATCCCTCCGGTCGTCCCTGTAATGATGATCCTTGTCGCTCCTCTCTCTGTCGTCGCTCTTCTCGTCCTTGGACGTTTTACGCTTGTCGTCATCCCGATTTCGCCGGTCTCTGCTTCGATCCCTGTCGCGTTGCCTTCGATCGTCGTAACGGCGACTCTTGTCAGACGAATGACGACTCCGATCGTTGCGATCTCCCCGCCTATGATCGTCTTTCGAACTCGTGTGATTCTCGTGATCGGCTCGCCTGTAAAACGATTACGTTCTGCAGGGGTATACCACACAGATGCGTATTATTATTCTGAGCACATGTCACAGGTGTATATTTCGATATATAGTGAGATATATCAAAATTACTGCTTTTCAATAGCAAATTTGATATCTATAAAATATCACTAGCACCTGTACTATACACATATATAACTAGCAAACCAGCCTACCTCTGGTCTGATGGAGAGGGCAAAGCCCGAGAAGCGTCTGTTCTCGAGCCGAAGGCAGACTGAGTCGTCGTAGGGCTGTTCGCGCGCTCGCTACTGGACTCCCTGGACGAATTGTTGTTATTGCTCTCCTAGAGAAAAGAAAAATTATCAATTTTAGTATGGGTCTCTCTTACATATTCCACTAAGAGGTAACTCTTAATTCCTACCACAAAAGCTATTTTAGAAATGCGTAACTTCATTGACACGCAAAGTTGGATTGTCTGACAGCGGAGAGTAATATGTATTAGAGAAACCTACACTTTACATATAAGAGAGAGAGAGAGAGAGAGAGAGAGAGAGAAAGAGAGAGAAAATGCTGTTGCATAGTGGGTATAAAAAGTAAACATAAACTTGAAGAATTTCTCTCTACGAAAAGCGGAAATTCGGTGTTTTTTTTTTCTCACATCAGTTTCCTCTTGGTTGTACTTGATACAAAAGGTTTGGCGACACTCGGGGATTTCCCCGAGTGTCACCCTATTCGATAATATAAACTGTGTACGCGCTAAATCACGGACAGGTAAAAATAGAACCAATGAAACAATATCATGTCACAAAAAGGAGAGAAAGAGAGAGAGAGGAATATGAGGGCCCTTCACATCAATCTGCCTCTGCAGTTAGTTTATCACCCGAGTATACTTGTACACGTGAGTTTTTTTTTTTCTTTTCTTTTGATGATTGATGTTTTGTTAGTGTTACCTTCTGCCAGCTTCCTCTACTCACCTCTGTTCTTCTGAATAGGACTTGGGGGTAGTCTTGAAAGACCCTCACACAGCATAGACCTTGCCGAGATGCGTAGATATTGTATCATGTATTACCAACAGAGCTACGTGTTAATATTGTCTCACGAAATGGCACTATTCCCATTTACTTATCATTTAAATTTTAATTATTGTGAATGATAGCCTGATTATCCTGCGTTCGGTAAGGTTTCAAGGTCCTGTCTCATTTGCATTTAAGCTAACGCTAAATGCTGATTTTGCCCCAGCTTTTGCTAACAAATACTGCTTGCAGCTTGTATGTACACCGAATCATAATCCACGATTGAAACTATCGTCAAATATCGCGAGAACTATTGCCCGCCTCTCTTGTAAATTGTATTTATTTTGTCACAAGATAGCAATGACCGGACGATTTGAAAACGACATGACCTTGCAAATGACCGGATACTATCCCCCTTTATGTATTCATCAGGCCTTTGCATGTACATACAGCACCCATAAAGTCACTGCGGTATCTTCTTAGGCATTGTCCGAATGTTTTCATATACTTAACAACTAATTAAGAAAATTATTTCTGCGTGTGGGTTCTACTATACCTCACTCATGTCCATTTGCACCGGGTCGTAGTTGGCGTCGCTCGCCCTCCTGTTTGCCTCTTCCTGTCCCCGTGGTGGCGTCTAGAAAACAAGATCAATCATTTTTTTCCCCAAGTTACCTCACAAGTACACATTCGCGACTCCAACTTCGCGGATCACGCGGCGCGGCGGGATTCGTGGGGGATCGCGAGGGAGAGGAGCGATCGCGTTTTTGAAAAATCTCTTGGGGGGCCGCGTGAAGTCGCGGTGTCGGATAGTACGCGTAGCGGAGCGCCATGTCGAGCGCCGCCGATTTCCGAGGCATTTCGAGGCGTCTCGAGCGACGGCGGCGACGACGACGGCGTCGACGTCGACGACGCGCGTCGTCCTCGCGCCCGCTCACCTTCGCGTCGTCCGAATTATTGCTGTTGTCGCCGTCGCTGGCGTAACTCGCCAGCGAATCCATAATGGCGCGTGAAACGCTCAACTGTCCCACTGGGAGCTGTTGTTGACTGCTGCAATCGCGAACTGTTGTGCAGTGCGTAGTCACTGTAGCGGCCGCGGCCGAGTGTTGTCGCAGTACTCGCAGTCCGCAGAGTGTCGTCGCTCCCGACGCAGCGCGGCGCTTCCGGCGCCCCGATCCTCTCTCGGCCTCGGTCGGTCGGCGTCGGCACACGCTCGCCATTGGTCGGCCAAGCCGGGTCGAAATCATGCCGCTTACAACAACAATCCGAACACGCTGCACCACGTCGTCATTGGCCGCGCGCGCGATCCGTACGTGCCTCTTCCTTCTGCATCCCCGTGGACCCCAAATCCTTCTGCTTCTCCGTTCCTCACGCGGCAGAATAATACTTCCGGTATGTATTTACATCCGCGTCGCTTTGAACCAAAGGAATTATGTATACGAAAAGACCGACGCAGATCTACGGATCTGCTTTCCCTTTGCTCTCCTTTTTTTTTTCTTTTTTATTTTAAAGCGGAATCGCTCGTGCTTTTCAAATTCGCTTTTAACGCAGAAATTGGACGAAAAAGGTGAAGCTTGCGTTGCAAATCTTTCCTGAAAAATTCTCGCGTTGCTATATTTATTAGATTTATATGTATATATGTATGCATATTTATATATATGTATATGGTCTTTATTGATTTCCAACAGGCGAATTACAAAACCTTCCGCAATTACGTTTTATTTTTTGTTTTAACTCCAACTTACGATTAACTCGACCTAACTCACAATATACATTCAATTCCGCATATACTTATCTAACGCATAATTAATCTGGATCTACTATATATAATCTCCAATAACTAATTCCACTAAATTATCCGATTTATGTTTATGATAATTTATATGTTCAAAATTAGATTTATGTTTCGACGGTCATTAATTCCGAAGCGATCGTTCTGGGAAAGATGGGAAAGGAAATATATATTGTTTCTTGAGTACACAAATTCGCGCGCGAGCGAATTCGGGATTGAATCCTCTTGGGAGAGCCAAAAGTAATATGATCTGGAAGGCCGAGGGAGATTCGACCTCTCGCGCGAGTACGTTTATTTGGTCTCGCGAACTGGGGATTCGGGTTGATCTTCTTCCGCGACCGCGAACGCTCGCACGTATCGAGTTCTCACCGTGTCAATGTAAGTATGCCGAAGGGGTTAACGAGCGTTCCTCTTCCCCGCTTCCCCCGCCAGCGCCCCTCTCTCCGTCCCCGCCCACGCCGTCGTCCCCGCGCGCGCGGGGAAAACCCGATCGACGGTGTAAAAATAACAAACTTTTTTCCGACGTTAGCGTCGTCGGGAGACTGCGAGATGCACGCGCCTTGCGCTTTCTCGCCGCGCGCCGACAATCTCGGTCGTTACGCCGTAATTGTAATTTACGATCGATAGCATATTATACAAAGGGCGAGAGGTTAGGAGGGGAGGGGTAGGAAGGTAGGAGATTAAGGAACGGCCTAATAGACATATACGCCGGTTACAGACGGCGGTGAAGATTAATCAACTGCCCCGAAGTGTAAACACGCGATACTTCTCACTTCCCCCCCGCCTCGTAAGGCACGATTAGCGACGACGAAGTATTAAGTTTTATAGCTTCTCCGCGCGTTTGCTATTTTCCTTCTCGCCGGCGATACTCCTATATACTCCTCCTGATCTCCGTATAATGTGCGTCGTAATTCAATTCTTTAATGTACCCTCTAATTTATTGCGACTCGACTCGTAATCGAAATACCGATTGACGTTGATGATAATTAACGAGACTGTTAATAGATAATGAAAGTCAGTAATCTCTGGGAGGGAAGGAGGGGGGAGGGGGTAGCCAATTAAACCTTGATTAATCGACGTACGCGAAATTGGCTCCGAGTGCCCTCGGAGTCGCATCTAGCCTCTCCGGAGCATCTCCGTAAATCACGGGCGGCATCCGGAGACTCCGCGCTCCAAGGCGCCCTGCAGTCATATACGTCATAAATCAAGAAAGATGCGCATAATTGAGGACGCCGTGGGCGGAAGGAGGAAGAGAGGAGGCGGAGGAGATGGATAAGTCAGGGGGTTGCACAGAGGCCGAGGTGTGCAACGGAGCGCGCCTCGGAGAGTACGCGAAGTACGCCCGAGAACGAGCATCAGGCAGATCACGCCCGCGGGCGAGATCCGCGGCGTGCGAGAGGCTGCGGGCTAAGCGGGAAAGGTGCGCGCGCGAGGAAGACGGAGGCGGCGTGCACACGTACGTAACAATACGCGTGGCGTGGATACGTAACGTCGTACGTACGGAACCACCTCGCATTGACGAACCGAGCCGAGAGCGGGCCGAGCCGGTGGCGCGCCGCACCGCGCCGCTCCGCTCCGCGTCGCGCGCCCCAGCTGCTCCCGCGTCGCGTCGCGTCGCGTCGCCTCGCGCGCGGGGCGGCGAATCGCTCGCCGGGACGCAAGCAAGCAACAGGAACACCAGTCGCTCGCCGGACTTCGCGCTGGTAACGTTGTGTCGCGGCATGCGCGCCTCGGTGCACGCGTACGCGTCCAGTGGTACGGTCTCGTGATCGCCCGCCGTGTACATCGTCGTTGCCTCCTCTTCTCCCCCTGCTCCCGTCCTTCCCGTCACCTCCTCCTCCTCCTCCTCCTCTCTGCCCTCCCCCCTCCTGCCGTGAGAGTCGACAGGACCCTTGGGTGCTTCCCGTACGCACGCACGCACGCACACCCACCGTCGCTTCCGGATCGTAAGTAAATCATCGTCATAAGTCATCTAATTACGCGCGTCTCTCGCTTTCAGCTCGCGGCCGCGGCGCGCGTCAGAGAGAGATTCGTCGAAGGGGGATGCGACGCGATACCGCGATGCAATCGCGCGCGCGTCTACCTTCCCGGGTTGCACCTCTGACCCGGAGAGGGTTGGTTGCACTGTGCGATGTGGGTTACCGTTACACCCGACTTCGTCATACCCCGGCCGTTTTCCGCCGGTGTACTCCGTGTGACGGAGGTCGTAGTGCGACGAACGGCGTGAGCCCCGTGAAAGGAAAGGGGATGCAGAGAATTCATGCGGATTTAATGAAAGAACAAGGTGGCCGAGAGCGTACACACACACACATACACACACACACTTACACACACCACCGTCGGTGTAACTGACCTCAAAGGGCTCGTCGCGCGATGTGGGTTAACGCTCACTCGCGATTAACTAATCTTCCTCTTCTCTATTTACCGGGGCATGGGTACAGCCGCGAGATGGGAGAATGAGAGCAATATCGCCAATCGCAATTGGTTAACTAGTGTGTGACTGATCACGTAGGGCTGGTCGCACTAATATGCGAGTTAGCGCCCTAATCCCATTTAATCGATCTTCCTGCTTTCTTCTGCTCGGAACACGTTACGCATCGAAGTGATGAATCGGAACGATAATTCACGAACAATCTATCTATATTATCTGCGTTCGATTCGGAGGCTATATGTATATGTACAATTGAGCTAGTATCGTCCTATCTACCCACGTGCGACGTGTTTTGGCAAAATTCCAATTTGCGATGTGCTCCTCCAAGATCGCGTTACACGCCGTTCTGCCTTTACGTAATCATTACAACGTCGCGTCCAATCCTGCGAAAATTAAATCGGCAGAGACGGTCGTACCTTCCGTAAAAGGGACTCGCGCGAGCCGTTTTTTTTTCACGTGAAACTCCGCCGGCGATAGAATTAATTCGCCGTGGGAAAATTGGAATTTCGGGGGGTCAACGTTCCCGATGGGATCTCTCTCGGCAACTTAGTTTTCGGGGACCAACGGGGACGGGCTCCGCGAACGGGCAGCAGCCTCGATCGAAGCAACTCCCGGATAGCAAAACGTCCGTCCATCTCGGCCAACATTGTCGATTCATTCTTTCGTTCATTCTCTCTCGTTCATTCATTCCACTCGGATGACCCGCTTTTTCGACTGTCGAGTCTGAACCAATTGTTTCAACAGGACTCGCGTCCAGGTTTCGATCCGTTCGTCTACCTATATCCATTCGTTCGTCCGTCCGTCCGTCCGTTCGTCCGCGGTTTCCGGAATCTCCGTGTTAATTAACTCCTCCGTCAGGACTACCACGAAGCTCGGGCAACAGTTCATTTTGCCTTTCCTCGTCGAAGGTGTGTTAATATACTAAATTGAAATGCGCAGTCTCGATGGGGCAAAATTGTACGTACGTACGTACTTGACGTTTTCTCTCTCTCTCTCTCTCTCGCTCTCGACGCCGAGAATCGTATTGTCGAAAGACTGAATAACACTCGCGTCCGTCTAATCAACGCTCATAGTACGAAGATATTAAAGCTGCATGCGATCGCAGGCGGCCTCCCCACCAGGGGGATATCGACGCGCTTAATTTTAACGTCGCGCCAGCTCGTTCCGAGCAAACAGAGTCCTTGGATATTAATCGAAGCCTCTCGCGTAGCCTGTTCCATTGAATCTGGGCCTCGCGCCGATGACATAATGTTTCTCTCGTTTGCGCATCGTTTATCAATCCCCCGCGCGCTGTTGCGAAAGACGGTCTGGATTCGAGCGCGAGCCCATCGTCGTCGGCGTAAAAGCCGGCGTATAAGGGCGACAAACTCGCGCGAACACCGCGGTATTATAATCCGCGGCAGCTTTTTTTCTCTCCCCCTCGCTCGGTCACTCGTCTCTCCTCGTTTACAGTCACTCGCGTGACCCGTGATGCATACACGCCGCGTTATACGTGAGACGCGCGTTAATCACTTCCGCATTCAGCTGCCGAGCGGATTTCTGTTGCCGAACGACTCCTCTCCTCTCCCCCCCCCTCCCCAGGCTGCAAGCGCTGCTTCCGCGAGCAACAGGAGAATATTATCTATCGCAAATTTTTCCCGGCGCGTAATCGATTCGTAAAAAATAGAGTCTGCTCCATATGCAACGACGACGATGCGCATATTATTGCTTCGAAATAAAGCGCTATACGTATGTATAAGAGTTTAACTTGATAGCTCGCGTGGAAGCGACGACTTTAGAAATCCAATTTGTCTCGGACCTATATACGATTTGCCGCCGGGGGAGATTTCGCGATATGAGAGTGGATTACGGAAGGAATGATGTACGCGAATTTGTATCGATCGGCGAGCGCAGGTACCATCCGGTCCCGTCGACGAAAGCGGTTCGCGGGACATTTGGGGGATCATTAACATTTTCCTTGAAGATAGCCAGGGGAATATCGCGAAATGCGACGCGCTTGCCGTCGAAATTGTTCTGCCTTTCTTTTTACGAGAGAGAAAGAGAGAGAATCGGACTTCCGTCCGCGATACCCTTAATTCCAGTCCACCGTGCCTGTCTGCTTTTCCTAGCTGAAATCGCGCGGAAGCACTTGTGCAACTCTTACGAGACGCGAATGTGAATGCGTAACATCGATTACGGGGTCGTGCTCGCGGCTCGAATCGGCCGATTCAAGTGTCACTCCGCCAGACGAGACGTCTCGATCATGCCGATCGAATCGGCACCGGCGACATCACGTCACTGTGCCGGTTCGAGCCGGTTCGTAGGTCCTATTATGCTCCGCCTCTCCTTATCACGCGAGATCTTCTCGGTCTAACACATACCTACGCACCATGGCGTGCGTATGGCGTGCCATTGTGCCGGCGGGCAAGACTAACGCTCGTGTCACTCCGCGCGTAACGCGAGCGTTCGCCTCGCAACCCGAGAGTGCTCGCCTAGGTAGCACGGTTGCACGGTGAATGCACTCGACTCGCGACTTAAAAGTGGCCACTTTTCGACAAGAGGTATCTGCTCCGTACGAGCGGTAAAGACTTCGCGGAACGTGATCAAATAATTGCTCGTTTAAAAATAAAAAAAATAAAAGAAGAAATCACTCAACTCCGCGAAGCGCAATCCTCGGCGAGTTCGGAGAATCCGGTTGAGCACGAATTGTTAGAATGTAATAATTATTATTATATCCTCACAATTCGTTATTATTATTATTATTAAGAATATTATTAGGAATAAATTACACCCTCTAGTTTGTAAAATCTATTTTAAGTGAAATGAGTCTGAAATTGATTTTATAAATAATGGGTTTGCTTCGCGTATGTACCGTTCAAATTGACTCTTCGCTGTTATCTTTATCAATATTTGGAGCAAGCATTGAAGTCATTATCCTTATCGACGTGAAATCGTAAAACGGACGTTGCGGAGTCTTGCTATACAAGTTCTTCGTTTCCTTCAGGTACCTTCTTTCTATCGGTTGCTCTTCGCGTCGCTCACAACTCCTCCCCCCCCTCCTCTCTCTCTCTCTCTCTCTCTCTCTCGCTCGCTTCTCTTTCTCTGCCTCTGTCTCTTTCTTCTTTCATTTCTCTTTCGCTCTTCTTCTCTTGCCTGTGCTCCGACATTGCCGCGGTTCCGTTATCCACGGCAAATACATGCCGGGCATCCTGTACGCTTTACCTCCGGAGAAAATAAACAGCGCGTGGCATCGACCGTGCGTTATTGACACCGTTGTATGCGATCGGGCTGGAAAAAAAAAACGGAGTGACGAGGCGAAATCGAGCATTTGTCTGTTGCATTTAAGCCAACGATAAAATATCGCGATAATTGAAATGGAACTGCCATTAAAATTTTACTCTCCTCCCCCTCTCATTTTAATATATTTTTATCAGTAATTTTGACAAAAAATCAGTGATTTTACAAGTAGAAAATTTTTCTGCCCTCTTATTTTCATTAATATACTTTATTGTCTGCCGCGTCTTTCTTATCCGCGGGATGTAATTTTTCCGTCGCAGCTCGCATTAGGGAGAGTCGATGGAAAGAGCCTTTGATGCATACCAAGTATGTTTGAATTGCTAACTGGATCGATCGCTTCCATCGCGAGTTTGTCGGAGGATGTCTTTGTATACTAAGGATCACAATATCGACGGCGACGGCGGTCTCGTCCTGCGATGGGCACCGCCATTGTGCCGTGAAACTTCGCGGAACGGACGCGAAATCGGTTATTGGAAAAATACTACGATCTCTCCAGCGATCTTACGTATACGATTCCGCGGGGCTGTCGCTCATTTATTTCGCGAATCGAAACCCTCGATCGCGTCAACGTGCGGCCGATGGCTGCAATACCTCTCGCGTGCGGATTTATGGACGAGCGTGTGAAGCGTGAAGCGCGAGTCGAATCGGCGGAACGCTTCCGAGTAAGCTCGATTTGTAGCCGTATTGTTGTTACACATTTGCCGCGAATAATCGCGAGAAACAACACAGCGTCGGCGAAAGTTCCGAGACTGTAAGATAATTTCCTCTTCGGACGCTGAAAAGTTCGTCGACGGTCGATCACGGAGGCGACGTGTGCTTGCACTTGCGTATACGGGGACGTCGCAACCTCTCCTCTCGCCGATGTTCCTGTCGCAAACGCACCAACACAGTAACGCTCTGCCGCGTTTAGTGTAACGTCATTAAAATCAACTTGATTAATTTCAACGTTGTTGAAACTTTAACGTTGTTAAAATGTTAATGAAATCAATTAATAGCATTATATCTATTTTCGTTTCGTCGGTTTTAGCTTTTAAACGTATTTCACGAGAATTTCAAAGGCCCCAACAGGTCTTTGAACACGTCAAAACACGTACCGCGTCGTCGGGATCGCGCGAGCGGAATCGCGCCACAGAAGCGGCCGATTATTCGGCGCATCGTATTTACCATTTCTATAGAGGTGTGCATGGGGAAGGCAAGTTCCCCCTATTGCGATTTCACCCGAGGCACCATCCATCCGAG